GCGAGCTGCGAGCTTTCCGCGTCCCTGCCAAGCACGCGCGCTCGTGCAGTGCGAGCATCGTTCAGGATGACGCGCTTTTCCGAGTAGCTTCGGCTTCACTATCACGTAAAGTGAAATATACGTGCTCGCGGAAGCTGTGAAAGAAAGCAAATATGAAAGGAATGTTTAATGGAACGCTGCGGCCATAAGCAGCATAATTCTGTTCTTTTTTTTTTAAACTTTTTTTAGACGTTTTGTTACCGCACATCTACAGATGCTGACAGCTGCTTGTATTTGAACGAGGCACGTGCAAAATCGAACGTTACAGCGCCACACGGATGATGCAGCCAGCAAAACTTGGTCGCGTCTTGCGTAAGTCTTCCGGACGCGCTCGCGCCCCCTGCCCAAAGCAACGGGTATATTACTACTGCATACGCCAGCACGCGCAATGCCTGCAACTACACTCGTAGCATGCACCTCGGTGCTTGGGAAATTTGTGTGCTATCAAATCAATACAAGGCCGATTGAGTCAAGGCAATCCACTTTCCAAAGAAGTTTCCATGCATGCCGACAATTATCGTGTTCATTTAGGCTTAAGAATGGCCAGAATCGAAATACTATCTAAAAAATGCGGCGAGGTCATTGCTCATGCTTTGCGATTTAAGTGAGGTAAGGCAAAGCGAAAGCCTCCTGCACCATTAGTTACTGACTAACGCGCGCGATATTGCAGCTACAACGACATATTAGTTCCGAAGCGAGCGGCGCTCACTTTGCGGGGCACCGCCATGTTTTCCCGCATCCCTACCGATCCCTGTCACATGATATCAGAATCCCTCTCCTAGGTACTGCGGCTAACTTTAGCCGCGGTTAGCGCTTCGAGCAAACGGGCCCTAAAGCCCCTGTATCCTGGGAAAAGTGGCGCCTTCATTGTTGTGGAAACGCGCGAGACACGTTCAGCGCGCCACTTCTGGAAAGAACATGGCGTCTGAAATCTAGCTCAGTGCTGCGCTGTGCCGCCTTGACCTTCCCAAGGGATGCACGTTGCACGTGCCTCGTGCATCGACGCACTTTGCGCTACTTTTGAAACATGAAGGGGCTTTAATGGGCCCTGCTGTTCATTAATAATGTTTATGTTGTTCATTTAGTGTGAAACGTGTCACGAGTGACGATTTTGAAACAACACAGAAAGAAAAAAAAAAGTCAGGGGTTTGACATTGGCGTTTTGTATTATATATATATATATATATATATATATATATATATATATATATATATATATATATATATATATATATATATATATATATATATATATATATATATATATATGCTCGGGCTGAGAGTGGTGGGAGGAGCGAGGAAACCTCAGAAGGGTGTCCGAGTTTTTTTCTTTTCCTTCCCGCGCCGAGACCCTTCTTCAAACCGAGTGGCACCCGCCGCCTAAAGCCCCTTCATGTTTTAAAAGTAGTGCAATGTTCGTCGATGCACAAGGCACGTGCAACGTGCAGCCCTTGGGAAGATCATGGCGGCACAGCGCAACACTTAGCTATTTCAGACGGCATGAATTTCCCAGAAGTAGCGCGTCGCACGTGCCTCGAGCATTTAACAACAATGAACGGCGCCACTTTTCCCAGGATAGAGGGGCTTTACCGTGGCCGGCACTGCCACGCCTCTCAGCTTCTCAACATGACAAAAGAAAAAGCCAGGGAGAAGGATGCCTCCTCGTCAAACGCGCCAACGCGCCACCCTCGTCCAACAGACATGGGATGCAATTTCTGCCTCCTTCGCCTGAACCTTGGGAGCTGCCCTGCTTCCAATCGTCGATGGCCTGGCCAATCTCGCCCCACACGGCCAGCAGTCTCAACAGTCTCCCTCGCAAAACTGTGAACGCGAGCTATTCGAACGTCGGCACGGTAAGCTCGAACATCCACAGACGCGCCGAGAGATCGCTTCCAGCATCGCCGGAGGCCTCCCCCTGCCACCGCCGGAGGTATGGCTTCTACGAGAATCGTTTCTACCAGAGCCACCAGCGCAATCCAACTACCTCTGATAGAGCCCCCACCACCCATGCCGGAGCGAGGGTCCGTCATGCCTACGACATTCTGAGCGACCTCGCCCAGGACACCATAAGTTTCTCCACGAGAGATGTCCATGAGATCAGGCATCTCCCCCGCCATCGGTTCTACTGGGATGACATGCTCCCTGAACGCCAGCACCTCATTTTCGATAGACTGGAACTCTTCCACGTCGTCGCGAGAGGGAACTGTAGGACGGCAGTCCTATCCCAGACGTCGAGGATTAGAGTCTGAGGTATTCAGAGAGCTCCCCGACCAGCTACCCAACCAGCCTCGACGCGGACGCCACACGCCTCGTGCTCCCGCGCACACCTGCTACCGCCCAGACACCAAGTCGAAGAGGCCCCCTAATCGTGAGTCCGGCAGCTACGCTGAGTCTTCGAAACCCACGAGTGCCGTCATCGACGGCACAGTCGTCTCCTCGACGCTCCTGTGCGTTTTTCCTGTCGAGGACATTCTCGCCCATGCTCTTTGCGAGGCTGGCGTCTCGGCCGACCGTGCCCGAGCTTGATCTTGGATCGAAGAAAACGACCCAAAGGATCCCGACTCGACAACCACCGCCACCGAGCGAATCCTGGAGTGGCTCAGCAGGACCGACAGTCATTGAGCCCCACGCCGATGACGGCTCCTTCGACACGTACGATGGCAAGGAGGAAAACCACACCAACACAAAGGAACACACTACAGACAAACAAAGCGTCGTCGAAGACTCTCAGTCGGACCAGGGTAGCACTGCCTACAAGTCAAAAGCGACGGGACCTACACCGCCAGTCCACTCGACCCAGCAGGCACCTGAAGTCGACTGGGCAGTGTTTAGTGAGGCAAGTAGTTTTCACGGGCCGCCCGACTACGGCGGACTTTCCATTCGCTGCACGAAGGCTTCTTGCCTCACGGCCCGCCCAGCCCAGCTCTCAATTTTATTACTTCATTCCACTTAGCAGTATTTTACTAGTGGATGGCTGTAGTTCTGTTCCTTCCTTCAGTGAAGCGAAGACTCGCCTGCATGTATGAGGTTGAAATCAACTGTAGCGACGAGAAAGTGCGAATGGTTCTTCCAGCATCAAGTGGGAACTTTCTCAGGGTAATTGTTTATAAATGGTGCCAAACAACAGAGTAGCGGTGTTTATTTTAATTTTTATTATATAGAACGCGATGATCCCCGAGAACTAGAAGTAACATGTATGCTCGGGCATCAAACTTAATAATGTAAGTAGATGTAGTGAACAAGAGTTGGAGCTAGGAACGTGTGCAACTTCTGACCAATTAGAAGTATTAAGACGTTTCTAAGTTCCTTGTATTTCACGTTATTGGATATCTGAGACTACTTTAAACAGTTTTTTCTAAAATGGCTGTCTAGCATTTCAATTAGACAAATTATTGGAAAAACCGAAATAAACCGGTTTTTATGAACGTGTAACCGGTAACCGAAACCGTAAAAATTAAAACCGTAAAAAACCGAAACGAAACCGTTATCAACAGGAAGCGGTAACCGTAACCGTAACCGAAACGTTATATTTTTCGGTTTGAGTCCCTGACTCTAACACCCCTCGTCACATATAATGCATCCCAAAACTTCAGTTCGAGGTACAGCGCACTGATGTTGAACCGACGCTACCAACTTTCACGAGCGGCTTGGTAGCCGAGTTGTACAACGTATGAAAATAGCTAATCTGACTGATTGTAAAAAAAAAAACAAAAAACAATCGGGGTTTTCTTGGCCCTACTGCAATGCCTCAGTGTTTTTTTAATACGTTAGCATGAGAACGTTCGTTTTGAGAAAAACCCGGCGGTGTCTTTCGTTTGTCAGTTGTCGCGTGCGACGCTCCCATTGGTCCGAAGTTCTGACGTGAGCATGCGTCAACCACTCACTCTCTCCCCGGCGCTGACAAACTGACAGACACCACTGGGTTTTCGTCAAAACGAGCCCTTTCGTTTTCGGCAAACTCACGCGCACAGCTGGTGTGGAGTCAGAGAGGAGGAGGTGCCGCGCAACACCTCCTAGATAACAAAGCCAAAGTGCTGAATTAGATGGCTTAATCAGAGAAGGCCAACGCTGGACACAGATTGGAAACAAGTGCTACGCCAACGCTTGGCTTCGAGTCAAGTTTGAGCCGAACGTTTATACTACCGTCGTGTCCAATCTGCACTCAGCGTTAGCCTCCTCTGATGACGCCATCTTATTTAGCACTGCGCCCTTGTTATCTAGCAGGCGTCGCGCCGCGGCGCGATGGAATGAGGGCGTGCTCAGTTGCCGCCTGCTGTCGCCGGTTGTTCTTCGCTCCGGGATTTCCGTAGTTGCGGTGCGTGGGCTGTGATGTGTGTGTGTAGTTGAAACGAGGGATCCGGTTCACTCGACGAGTGATATAAATGCGGTTCCTTCCACAAGTGGTAAGGGTGTGGTTCCTTCCACGAGTTATATGAATGACCGTATCCAAGGGCGTCACGTACTCTGAGAGACAGAGTACAAAAAAGGGTTGAAAAGAATTACACGAAGATCCATTGGTGGAGTTTTGGGGAATCCGTTAGCATTTCTCATGGGAAACGCCACACATGTCGCCCTTTGGGAAACGCTAGCACTGATCCCGTAACGAGACAAAAAAGAGGCAGCGAAAAATAGAGGAAGCGAAAGAGAAAGCCAAAAGAAAAAAGTGAAGGGGTCAGCGTTAGCGTTTCCCAAGGGGGGACGTGTGTGGTGTTTCCACGGGTCATGCTCACGCATTCCATAAGAATCCATCGATGAATCTTCCTGTAATTTTTCTCGAACCGTTTTGTTCAAGCATTCTTCGTAGTAGTTACGCTAGGGGTTTTAATTTACAAACTGCTTAAACCGGATTTTGTCATACGCGGATGATATGGCGATTGTTTTTGTATGTGGCGCTCGAGGGCGGGGCATCTTCTTGCCGATCTCCCCCTGTCAGTGATTCTAAGTGAGGCGGTACTGATCACCTTTGAGAGAGCCGTGGAGTCCAGGAATGGTGTGAATATTTTGAAGAAAACGTTGAAGATGTAGGATTGCTTCACAATGTCCCAGCGCCGATTCTTGATAGGGTAGCCGGCCTGGTCGGGAAAAGAACAAAGAGGCAGTTTGGAATGGCTTGTTGCAGAAGATGCGTCTTATAGTGAAACGGAGCACTTTGCAAATCTATCAGAGAGGAATAGTTCTGTTTTGGATTATGTACGCGGCGAGATTTTATCCGCCACGTACAGGACACGTGTTGAAGTTTGAGACGATGCTTAATGAAGCAGCAGGTTCATCCTGGGGTTACCCAGCAAGTCTAGAAAAGAAGAGCTGAAGTTTTTTCTCCCGAAGCTACCGATCACTTGAAGCAACAGGAGGCACGGATTTCTTGAAGCAGAGGACAATACTAGAGCACTCGGCTTAGAGGAGTAAGGTTGCGTGATTCCTTGGGAGTCCGTATCCAGTAAAAGGAGCCTCTCCCAACCCCGGCGGCTCCATGGGATCTCATCGACCTTAACCATGCCTCTAAGCCTGTGCCCAAAGACATCAATGCTCAAAAGCTTCAGAAAAGGAGAGAGGATCTTGCGCGACAACACATTAGGAAGCGGGAAAACTGCTATCCCACAAGAAGACAACGGTCGCTTATAACAACGCTGCTGTTACGAGAAGTGGCTGGGCGGTCCCTGCTGTCTTCTGGTGACAAGAGCATCAAGAATGGCTGTCTGAAGCCAGCTGCCAAAACGTGCGACAAGGCTAAACGAAACACCAGGGATCGTGTGGTATACACGGATGCTTAGGTTGTGCTGGAGGATCTGAAGAGACTCAAGCCTACAGCAAGTCGTACGGTGGCATCTAATTTCGATAGAGCGTTGGCCTTTCACCGTGCCTACGGTTTCAGGATCAGCATTATACGGATTCCCGGGCACAAGGACATCCCGGGCAACTCGTTGGATTATGAAGCGGCTCAGAGGGAGATGCGTAATTGAGTATCCTCACATCTCCATCCCTCTCGTGTGGCTCCGTGGTGTTCGGCGATTCACCCTGCAACTACGGACGGGTATGGGAGGTCGGTAGGGTGCCTAGGGAACGTAAAAAGGTACTGCTGCAAGCTGCAAAGGTTGGTGAAAGGGACGAATACCCAATCCCCCGAAGGGCTTTTTAAGCGCAAGCAGATGGTACTTCTTCGTAGGATCCCATTCGTTAGAGCGGTCACGCTGTAATTCAAATGCATCTTAGACTTAGCTCAACTCAAAGACTGAAGCCCTTTGCCGCAACTCTCCCCCCCCCCCCCCCCCCCCCCCCTCAATTAGAGGAGCGCCCTCAAACTACCCCACATCGAGTGCAAGGTTCTGCCCAGTCAAAGAGAAGATTCCTGAAAGTCTCTTCATGAAGGTGAAATACCCTCGAGCCTCATAAATTGCACGCATCCGGCTGGGGACTTCCGACGAAGAACTAACGTTGTCAGGTCGCTCTTGGCTTACGTTGCCGGGGATGGACTGGAACACTCCATATGAGGATCTTCACCGCCTCAATCGTCATCTCAACGTCATACAGAAACGAAGATGCCAGGTTAGGGGGCCATCGCATCGCTAGAGTGGAGACAAGTTCCCGATCTCTGGTAATTTTTGTGTAATTAACATTCCGTCGAAAATTTAGTTTTTACTTCGCAGAAAGCTCGAACCGACGGAAACTACTTATACACCGTTTCACTTTCGACCGCAGCCAATGCTAGGATCCCATAGAGATCATTAAGAAACGCCAAAAGTACAACGTCATGGCGGTAGTTCTTTTATTTATTTGGGAGGGGGTAATATTAAATAAAGAAATCAAGCATAAAAAAAGTGCGTATGCATGGTCACGGCGCATTTCGCTGAGGACAAGACCCCAGCAGCAGTGGGAATCGTACCAGTAATCGTGAGAGGGCCTTGATGCGGCTGGCCGGTACGTTGGTCATGTGGTTGTAGCTCCAGCCGTCCATGTCGAAGATCATGCACAGCCCCCGCAGCTGGGCCGATCTCCTGCGCATGGTGTACTCGAAGCAGAGCAGCAGAGCACGGGCAACGTCCAGAAATGGCACCTGTGACGAGTTCGTATCGTTTCCTCGAAGCACATTTCGGGGAAGCACAATTTGTGGACAAGTTTTCGTAGACATACGATTTATGCCCGCACGTTTCGTTGACACTGTGATGTTTCGTGGAAACTTGTTTCGAGGACACATGATACTACGACGTTTCGTTTATAACATTTGTCTTTTTTATTAAGAGGATTGTATTGGATTACTGCCTTCATTTAGTTCCCCAGCAGACCTTAACTTAGTGTCACTGAATGTTCCGGTGTACAGAAACTCCCAAGCTTTGCTTCAGAACTGATTCGCGGCGCAGCAGTCGCGATCCCCCGCATGACCCTGCCCTGTAAGGTCGAAGCAAAGCGCGTACAGTGTAGCGTTCGTTTTCGTGGGAGCTCTTCAATCCACGCTCCTGGCCTGTGGCGACACTGGTTTGTTTTTATTAAACGAAGTGTCTAGCGTTACGTCCGACGTAACCCAAGTTACGTCCAAATCTCCGCCTTCCCTAGGTTCATGGGGGAGAGAGAGGAGGGCGGGGGGGAGGGGAGAGATAGGTATACGCGTTTCAGTGCTCCGTCCGGACGTAACGCTAGCCACAGCGTTTATTAGGGAGTTTTTGTAGATCGTTTTCGCCGTCCCGCAGGGCCCTCCGCAACCCGCTACGATAGCGGGAACTCCACAGTCAAGGCTATCGGCGCGCAGGCGCAGTAGCAACTTCTTCGTTGCGGAACGCTTAGCGGAGCTAGGGGGCAACGCGGTGTACGAAAACTCCCTATTAAAGAGGCGGTGCAACGATATTCAATTGGAAATTTTGTTTTTCACTTTACGCAAGTGTACAAGTCAAGAAGATAGGAGAAGCTCCTTGCACAAGCGTGATGCGCCGGTTTCAAATCCCTCCGCAGTCGAAAGAAAAGTTCACTGGAAACGCTCCTTCTTCCGCTTCAATGGATAGATAATGGCTACAGAGTGATGCCAACCTGTCTCTGATCCCACTTTTTAAGAAAGCGACGTTTGTATTCATCGGAGAGAGAACCGAGCCCCTGAAGGCAGCCTTTGTCTCCATCGGAGGGGGAAGCTAATCCCCGAAAGTCGTATTTGTTTCCATCGGAGGAGCAAAACTCTAATCTACCTCTCGTGGCTTCCACAATGCTAAGTCAAAGTCCAAAGATAAAACAAATATGTACAGGAAGGCAAGACCCTCCTCGCGCGTTGGCCGCGACGTCACGGAAACTATGGGACGCTGTTGGATGCGGAGGAGGAGGAGGGATATATGATTCCCTTTGAGGGGCATTCGCCTCTACCTTCTTGACTTGTAACCAACTATAATGGAACCCAACTAGTAGCGCCGATATGTTTCGGTGGCGCCCTCTTATGGTTACCCTCCGTGACGTCACGACTCGGACTTGCCTCGCCGTGACGTCACCAGTTGTTATTCTGGCTACTTACCATCGGGTGCAACGACGAGTTCGATGGTGTGTTTAAAAAGCACAGTAGAAGCTAGGAGCCATCGCAATCCCAAACTAACACCGTAAAAGTTGACAAACTGACAGTGCTCATATGCCCATGGTTTGGCCAATCGTGGAAAGCCGACCACAGCAACGTTTTTGGCCGCGCACAACGCGAATACTGCACGCAACGCCATTGACCAAGAAACCTGTTTGTTCCGGTGAAATTTCAAGGATAAAAGCGAGAGTTTCCCTTCAATCTCTCTCTCACAAAACTTGATGACGTAGCCGGAGGGTCGCAGCACTCTCCAGTGACGGTATTTGAATGTGGCTCATAGATTGGTCCCGAGCATTGCGTGAGCACGCGATATGTCTCGTGATAATGAATAGCTCGTAAAGCATTCGGGTAGTGGCTCGGGCCTAATTGCGGCAATGAGGACAATAGCCGAACCCCAACAATGTCTGAAATCCAGAGCGGGTCTTGTGCCTTGTCAACCCCATTTGGCTGCGAGTTGAGGGGGTGAACACTGCACGTTTTCCTTAAATTCTTTTTTTTTCTATGACGCTTGTTGCTGGGGAGAAAAACGAACGCGTGTTCCATTGGTCGTAAACTTCAGGGATTCGTTCTAAGCGGTATTCGCGCAAAGTGCAACAGCTGTCGCACCGCGCCTTTAAAGTAATTTCATTCGTTCCGAGCGGTGCGTGACTTGCTCCTTTCTGTCTCGTCTCTCTCTCTCCCCTCGAAACTCATTGAAGTCGAGTGGCAGGCTTAGCGTCGGAGGCGTAGAGTTTCAAACGCAGCACCAGCTCAACCGGGGTGAGCAAACGAGCCGGCAATCTTCTTTGGTCGACCAGATTAGCGGCTACTTGATATTTAAAAAAAAAATCAGTAGAAACTTAACATTACCTTACGTTCGGTCCTAACTCATCGATGCCCAGAACTCCCACTCGTGTGTACCCGCCAGGCACGTAGCCAGGGGGGTGGCCCATGGGCCCCCCCCCCCCCCCCCCCCGAAACAAAAACAAAATCCTGGCTACGTGCCTGGTACCCGTCATAGCCGTGGTAACGCGGAAACGTTTTGTATATGCGCGTTTTTTCCTTTTTTTTTTTTTTTTTTTTTGGGGGGGGGGGGGGGCGATTTATAAAATGGTCGACTGATACCGTCCGCCACGGATTGAACCAGCCAATCAGAACTGGATTCTGCGGGATTTACTTCCAGTAAGTGGACTGAATGGAATTCGATACTCTCGGAACATTCAGTGACTCTACCTGAACTATAGCAGAGCCGCATAGGGAACTCTGATAGCGCAGACAAAAAATATTTAGCCCTAATCCCAGGCTTCCGAACAAAGCTCGCAACGCAACCCCCCCCCCCCCCCTCTCGCTTCGCTCCGCTTCGTTCGGGAGGAAATGTAATATAATTTTAGGCCCAAGCTTTCACAAAGCCTCGGTGGTTCCGCCAAGCTAGGGTTCGGCAAACTAAGCTATCATCTGGACTCCGGCAGCCAAGGCGGTGGGCACAAAAAGACGCTTTCGACGAAACGTCACAAGGTGTGTCGATGGGGCGTCACGGTGTCAACGAATCGATATGACGATGAAACGACGCCGCTCGACGAACTGACCTGGGACGGATTCCAGGAGCCCGGGCGCAAGACCAGCACCAAGCGTTCGCCGGGGTCCCTCTCAGGGAGCAGGACCATGAGGTTCCTCAAGAAGACGTGTCCCAGCTGAGAAGGAAGCAGGTTCCTGAACAGGTCCCGCTCCTTGTGCCGGTTCACGTAGTAAAGCTTGAGTGTCCGGAAGGCGCGCTTGGGATCCAGGCGGTCGAAGCGGAGAAAACGCAGGAGGAATTCGTCCGCCTTGTTAGCGTTCAGCGATCTGTCCTCTGCAAGGGATGACGACATTTTTTCCGGACAAAAAGCCATTTTGTTTCGTGTTTTGTACCTTTCAACCTTTTAAGGAGTGTTCCTTCGCGCCCTGGAAAAAACATAAAGAATTAAGTAATTTACGAGTTATTAGTTCAGCCATTGATTAACTGATTGATTGAATGAATAAATAATAGTCATAATATCTTTATTTCTCATCTTAGTGACGGAGGAGGTTTGGAGAAAAAAGGCTGAAAAATCAGCTTAACGAGCTCCCTCCTACCCATATATTGTACGACTAAAGTTTAATAAGGCAAGCGGTGCACTACGTACATTGTACACAGACACTGCACCAAACAAAATTCTAAAAACAAAATTCTAAACGGCAGAACTCGGCGTAGTTTCGAGATCGCCGCAACCCCTGCGCAAGAAGCAGACGACTTGCTCTCCGCATCCCTGGGGCAGACTTGTACGTAGTTCAATTACTCTACTTAAGTTAATGTAGTTTAACTACTTTTCTGAGTAGTTTAGTAACTTCCAATTTCATTTTTGTTTCGGTAATTAGTAGTTTATTTAATTACGTTTTCCGAGTAACTTCTGCTCAAACTACAAAGTAAGTTCGACTTTTAGTGGTAGGTTTCTCATCAACAAACATTCCTGCACAAAAATCAATTAGTTGTTAGAAGATCAACTAATATTTGCAAAGAGTGAGGAGGAAGCATGTAACGTAGCCAAGAGGGAGGGGGGGGAGAAAATCGATGATCCAAAACTTTCTAAAATTTTTACGAGCCCCCCACTGCAACAACCCTGCTATGAGGCGCGGGGAGTGGACATACACGTCGCAAGTGAGGTCGAGCAACTGCGGGATTAGCGCCGAAGGCTGGCGTTTCTTTGTGTCCCGATGCTCAAGGAGGCGACGCCTATGAACAAAAAGCTTGTCCTTGCTTCTCCCCAATGTACGAGCTCTCGTAGGAGCTCTCAGGAGGTATACGCACTACGTCCTCACTCATAGGAGGCAACAAAATGCAGCACTTTCTTTAGAGCTCATCTGGTGCTCCCGTAGTTAATGTTGTACTTGAAGAATTGCGTGCTAAAGGGCAACGCAAAAGTGACTTCTTTGCGTTGCCTTTCCTTTCAAAACTCATAATATGCAGGTTTTGCAAAATTTGAAGATCGTTCGAGTAACCTTAATGATGCCTGCACGTTTTCTACAAGAAAAAAGCACAATCAATGTTGGAAACTTCTTTATGTAAGTGGTACTTGAAGTATTACTGAAACTATGTTTAGAAACCTTGCACTTTACATGAAGTACATTTTCTGCGCATCTACTTGTAGTTTGCTAAATAATATTTTCTGGTACTTTCCAAGGAAAGTACAACTCCCGACTTCAAAGTACGTTCCCAAAATTTAAAAACATACAAATGACAGCTGTGTGTCATATCCTGTTTTTTCTGTCTTTGTGTTTTAGTTATTTCTAAAGTTCAAGCTGATACATTTACTGGCAAATCGTCACGTGAAAATGCGCTGTCGTCTTTTGAGACGTCATTTGGTCATATCACTGGGTGAAGTATAATCGGTTTAATACTAATACAAATAAGTGCCTTATAAGTTTAGTGTTTTAAATAGTTCGTCGGCGAGGGGAAAACAACTAGTTTGTGGCGACTTGACTCTATCCAATATTTGCCGCCATTTCCAAAAACAAAACAAAAAAAACTAATGCATTTCCGATTCTTCTGGAGCAATGCAAACCAGTTAAATGAAGAAAACACTGTAAATGGGATAAAAAGGCAGCATGAAATATTGTGTTAAAAGTACTTGTACTTTAATTCTAAAGCACGTTGTATTGACAGTACTTCAAGAACTTTGCACCCGGTGTACTTAATACTTTACTAAAGTATAACCTCTCATTTACTTTGTACTTTACTTCAAATACCTTTTAAATTTACTTTACGCAACACTGTAACCAAGTAAACACTGTTTGCAAAATCAAGCTCAGACAGTGCTAAACCTGAGGGTAGAAATGATACATCCGCAATACCTCGTTGATCACAACACTTCACACGGCAAAACAATTATGCACGCAGAAGCAGAATCAGCTACTAGAGGGGTACGTAAACGAAATGACGTGAAAGCGAGCGCTTTACCTCTCGCTTCAAAATCGGCCAGCGAGGAGCGCATTGCGTATCGCGTTCGTGACGTCAATTGTTCCTGCACTTTGTTTCTTAGCGTTGCCGCTTGGTGAAGTCAACGCGCGACAACCTCATCTAGTAGTAATATCCGAAGACTGTACGTCCTATGGCAAATAATGCATAGCTTCGCTGGTCACGTCATTCGCGGCCATGCCGGTATTTTATGTGCCCAGAGAGCTCGGCTCACCGTGTTAGTTTCATAGCGCAAAAGTGGTACCTCGAGGTAACCAGTAAGTAGAAAGAAGCGTCAGTACCCAGCAATGGCGACACCTGCAAGCTATGTAATGGCGACGTGCGCGAGCGAAAGCGTCGCTGCGATTGGCCTTCCAGGATTGGTCAAACGCTCACCACGACGTCTTGACTCTTGAGTAGGATTATTTCTGCTCTCGTCGACAGAAATAAGCGTCGCACTCTCAACTCTCACGGTGTTGATTTAGGAACGTGATGGCGCCCACTGCGCTTTTTACGCACCATCAAATTTGTCGCACGCTACTATTAATCTTGGACGTGACGTTAGCGATAGCAACCATAGGAGGGCGCCACCGAAACACTTCGTCGCCAATATATGGTATTCACTGGGTGCCTGAGCGGTTCCATGTCTGAATGACCAACGAGCCTAAATACCCAAGAGGACAAAAGATCCAGTAGTGGATATTCAGGCACGTTGGGCATTCCATCTCAGTTTGACCTTTCGTCTCGGATATCCAGACTCGTTGGACATTTCAACTTGCGTGACTCATCGAAGGAACACGCGGGAAAAGGATCGCGAGGTTAGGGAGAAGGAGAGGCCGATGCGTCAATTCTCAGGAAGAAGGGTGGTTGCGCTTTTTTTTTTCTGCCTCAACGGAAAGGTTTCTGGCTAGATTTTTGGCTTGTAACATTTTTCGATCACTTGTACTAAACGATTTGCAATAAAAAAAGGCATCACTTTAGACAAATGCTGTGTCACTTGTAGAGTGAACTACAAGAAATCAAGGATATTTTCCCAGTTCGTTAGCTTTTTCGAAAGTAAAACGAGCAGGGTAGCCCTTTTGGAGGGGTTGCTCCGCTCGGGGTTTAGGGGCACGGGAAGCCATAAAAAGGCAAGGATGTTTGGAATCCGCGGTGCACCGTTCACCACCGAGCCCGAAAGGGGGTTAGGTAAAGCACCATAAGAAAAAGGGCTTTGCTGGGGACGTTACTCTAACAGTGCTGCCGGGAAGCTATAACCAAGTGTGGACCTGAACGAGGGTATCTGTCACCACCCAAGGTTTACCCTTGCCGTCAAAGAAGGTGAAAGAGTAAAGAAAGACAGAAAAAAAGGCAAAGGTAGGAGAGCAGAAGAAAGGCGACTGACTGAATCATCCTGGTCGGGCCAAGCCTGGACACCCGTCTACAAGAAGCAGGGGCAGAAGTGGTATATTGCCTCGCCCTGGGAGCCCCAAAGTGTCGAAAGACACCCCGGGTTGAGCTGAATCACCAGGATCTCCTTTTTTGTACATGGGTTAAGCCACGCGCAACCAGGCCCGGATGGTTGAACCTAGATGGATCGGGGTTCGTGGTGACACAATTCACCAAGCACCTACTATAGCAGGTGGCCCCTGCGTGTGGGTAGGGGGGCCCACGTGGCTGGGGTCCGTGGCAGGGTTGGGCAGAAATACTCAAAAATGTATTTAGAAATACAAATACTGGGATACATTGAAATAGTAGCTAAAATACTGATACTAAGATACATCTGTAAAAATTTATCGCGATACGTATCGGAAATACATTTTAAAAAGAGGCAAAAAGTATTTGGAAATACAAATACAGGAATACATTTTAGGGAGGGCAGAAAAACAAATACAGAAATACTGATAGTGCAATACATTTTCCAAATTTTTTGAGACACCAACTGAGATGAAGCTTGAAGTTTGAAGTGGATGTTTTCGATCCCGAAATTACTTTCCTGTAGGCTTGGCACTTTGCCTTGAAGGTTGTGTTTTCGGACGACAAGGAGTCTTCAATGGGCCCAAAAAAACGTTCCAGCAATTGCTGACCGCGGTCCCTTCCATGACATACTGTCTGTCTGACGAGGAAATCCTGCCAACATTGATCACATGATGTCACGGCGGAATGAACTAGTAGTCTTTATCTGTAGGTGTGGCCTTGAACATGAAACTTTACCACGCTGCTGTATGAAAGGACAATGCGCACTTTCGTTGTAGGCTACCTAGCTGAAGATCGTGCATGCAGTGTCTTTTGGAATTTTTGAAAAAGTGGACCACCTGAAGAATCTTGGAATACATGTCTTATCTTCTGTATTACAGTTGAAAAAACGATACGGTAGCATCCCTGTTCTGAAGGTCCTTACTACCGACCCTCCGCCACCGACGCACGGATTGCAGTCCTCAAGTATTGTCTAGCATTATCCAAACAGAAACCTCGTGGATTACGAGATGATATTGCCGGCACAGGTGCGAGTTGTCCAAGAAACGGCGGTCTCGAGACTAGTCGCGGGAGTACGTAGTCTGGGATGGCACAGCGATGCCACTTCTGGCCTCCTTCTGGGTTTCGGATCACCAGAGCAGCGGGTCACGTTCACGTCGGCTGATGACGTACCCTTGAGCCGCGCAATATTACGGGCGCAGCCGCAGATGCATTCGGATATGTGTTAAACTTCACAGCACGAGTCTTCCTACTATTTCAAGTCAACCACCGCCTGGCTCGTGCTGCAATGGAATGTGACTCAGCTTTGCCGGCAGGGTGTACACTGTACGCTTAGGCGAGAGAGACGGTTAGCAGCGAGCATTGGATGCCAGGAAACAATGACTCAAGAAATCCCTACCTAAGGACCTGCGGCAGAAGATGCTCTGACTCCACTCCTGGCACGCCACCTGGTTCGAGTTTCCG